CCCTGGAAAGTCAGATTTTGTCTTTGGAAATATTTAACTCAGAGTGTTTATTTACCTGAGTGGCATAATTGTGGAACCTTTTGGTTTACCAAGACAGCAGTAGGAAGCTTTAATTACATCATTGCATTTGACAAACTAAAGAAGTCTGGGAAAGAGTGTTATAGATGAGGTTCATAATAGCATATATGCATTCTGATTAACACAAATGGAACCTTCTGCTGGGAAAAGGCTTTTAATTGCATAATAACATGAACAGTGATTGAGAAATGAAGAGAGCAGAGTAGACAGTCTACAATACACCTCGTCCATGCTTCATAAATGGGAGCTGTGTGTCCACAAGAAAAGCATTTGGATTTTATGCTTAGAGTAGTGTCCAGAATGAAATATTTGGTGTAAAAGTCACCTCTACACAATGAACCTTTGGGGGTTGGTTTACTAAAACTGCATGGTGCAAAATCTGGTGCAGCTTCTAGGTTTTATTGTCAAAGCTTAATGCAGAAGCAGATTTATGCAAAATACCAAAATAACTATGAGGAAGTCTCTAGTATGTGCAACCTTTTATTGACAGTGTTGAATTAAAGAGGAACTCAATTAGGCCATATTTACATAAACAGGTCATATAAACACTGTAAAATGTCGGAAAATTATGATGTGGAAATGTACTGCTTCAGGTAATTGCAGAAATTAGAGAATGTTTTCCTGATTGAGCCATTTCGTGATCAGTCGGGGAATGTTGTTATGTCTTTAGGCCTTTCTCCCACACGTTTGCTGAGTTTTCCTTGTTTAAGGGTTGATTGGCCAGGGTGGATTTCATCATTTGATTGCTCTTGTTGTGAACAGAATGTTTTTCCTCTCTTCTCCATAGGAACAAGTGTGTAAATTCAACACCTGATGTGTGCACATATACTGTATGTTTCTACAGCACTTGATGGACCACACCATACAAGGGCCTGCTTGTTAACCACTTGCCCTTCAGAGGATTTACCCCCATTCCTGACCATGCTATTTTTTGCGATACAGTGCGGCGTTATTTTAACTGACAATTGCGCGGTCATGCAAAGCTGCACCCAAATGAAATGTATGTCCTTTTTTCTCACAAATGGAGCTTCATTTTGGTGGTATTTGATCGCCTGTGCGTTTTTTATTTTTTTGTGCTATAAACAAAAAAAGGCCGACAATTTTGAAAAAACCCCAAAACAATATTTTTGACTTTTTGCTATTAAACATATCCAGTAATAAAATAAAAAAAATTTGAAAAAAAATCAAATTCTATCATAAAATTTAGGCCAAAATGTATTCTGCTACATGTCTTTGCTAAAAAAAATCCCAATATGTGTAAACTAATTGGTTTACATGAAAGTTATAGCGTCTACAAATGGCAGTATATATACTGGAATTTTTTACTTATTTATTTTTTTTATACTAGTAATGCGGCGATCAGCCACTTATAGCAGGACTATGGGACTGTGGCAGGCATTTTGACACTGGGAATACCCGAAAATACAAAATCATGTATATATACATGATTTTGCGCAGCCCTGCTGCCTTGTAGCAGTAGTTCTGCTCTAGGGCTGTCAGGAAGCGGTTAATATCTCTGGTCACTTCCATGTGCCTCCTTATAGGTATACAGTGCAAAAAATCTAAAAAAAAGATAGGAAGACCATGCCATTTCTTAGGCATGACATTGTTGAAAAAATTCTAAAGTGGGAAATGAAAGCTCAGCTATTGTGATGCAATACTGATTCCCATATTCTGCTTATGCAAGCACTGCTGTCAGGCAGCGTGATTTATTGTAGGTAATGGGGATAGACAACCATGTTTTCAAGTTGTCACATACAGGTGTAGGTAATAAGTGCTCTCCTATTGCACGGAATGGAGATAGGAGTGTTATTGCCAGGTATTTTTGGATGTTTTTGACTTCTTATTTTAGAATAATATTGTGCATTTTCAAAGTTCTTCACTAAAATACAATTGTCAAAGGCTAACTGTTGGTGCTGCTTTTTTACACCTTTACTTACGAATGCTGTTACAGCATATGAGTGGAGGAAGCCATAACAGCCAATTAAAAGTCTGTTTTCATTGGTTTAGGACAACCAGAACAATAAAAGATTTTTGCTAATTTGTTTCTGTCAGTTGCTGTACTTAAAACCTGCTCTTTGCCATACTAAAATAAGCTTGATTGTGTTTACATTTTTCATAACTAGCATTAACTTCAAAGGAACCAATAGACTGTGGTTGGTTTACTAAAACAGTAGAGAATGTGCACATTGCAGAGAGAATGTGCAAGGAAAAAAAAAATCAATTTTCAAAACTAAGCACATTATTTCAAGTAAGCATTGATTAACTTATTTACTAAGCCTAGTGAACATTCATGTTTCTGAATGTATATTCTATACTTTCTAATGCCATATCCATTTACCTTGGAAAATGTCACATTTATGTTTACATCGGTACTGAGATAGGAATAGAAAGCTATTTTGACCTAAAAAGCACATTTTTCTGTATGTGACTATAACTTCCTAAGCACCCACTTCCCAATTTAAGTTATTTGGTAACTGTACAGACTTGGTAATGCATTGGAGATCCAACACCTACAGTACTGTATACCAAGGCTGCAGTACACAATATAGCTCTAGTAGAATGAAGCTGAACCAATCACACAAGCTTAGATACATGTTTTTATCATGTCAGATTTGCTGGAAAATGGCAGTTACTGATTTAGGCCTGGGCTTTATTTTTTTTTGCTGACACTAAACATTTGATTATTCAAAATCATCCTAATGTTATGATAGTATCTGGTTTCCATAGGGCTGGTTCACACCACATTTCAAGCATTATGGCATCTGTGTTGAGATATGGTAAAATGCTTTATGTCAATTTTGATTCATGTTTTCAATGGATTTGCAGTGCGTTTACTTGCAGTATGTGTATGTTTTTGTTGCTCTGCATTGAGCTGTGCTATCTTGTGGTGTGTTGTATGCTTATTTTCTGTGGGACTGCAAGAAAAAGGACATCCGCTGTACTCTTCAATCTTTATTAAGTGTAGATAAAATCAACATCACAGACAATGTCAGGAACAGCAAGGGTTAGCATGTTTCTTAACCAGTTTTTATCAGTTTTTCCATCCACTTAACCACTTGAGTCCCACAGCCATTTTTTCAGTTTTTTTAATTTTTGGTTTACATGATTAAAAAATAATTTTAGGCCTGAAGATTACGTAAAACCCCCAAGCTATATATATTTTCTGAAAGTAGACACTTAGAGAATACATTTGTGGTAGTTCCAATTCTAAGTTACAAGTTTTATAAAATGCAATATTTCAGTGAAAAATACACTAAAGTTAAATTTAGGGTACACAAACACAATAATTTACCCAATTTTATTGGTAACTTGGTTACTTCAGTGGTGGGGCCAAATGACAACTCCTTCTTGGAGCTATAAAGTAAAGAATAAAAAAGCTGGCAATTGCATTTACATTATGTGATGAAAAACTGATGTAAACTGATCAGTTTGTTTCTGTGAAAAATTACATTTAAAGCCGGCAATGACAGTTAGTGCCAGGAAATGAAGGAGCCTGTCAGTATACTGCTCCCTCATTCTATATACTGCTCCTCTCCTGCCTTTCTTTGCCCCCCTCTATCTACAGTACACACAGCCCCACCAACCACTCGCCCTATGCACCCCCCCCAGCCACTTGATTCAATCTGCTTTTTTTTTCTTCTTTTGCTTACTTTCTGCTGTCAGTGGGAATCTCCTAACAACCAATGCAAAAATGGACTGTTTGTCCGTTTACATCTGTTTATCTTTTTTAACAGACCAAAACCAGGACTTCTGATCCACTTAAAAAAATGGATGTGGATGCATGCAAATGAAAATGGATGTAAACAGATGATCACTTCTTTACATCCGTTTTTCCATAAAGGGGCGTTGATGTCCGTTTTTCATCCGTCAAAGGATTGATGAAAAACGGACAAACAGTCCGCAAGTGTGAAAGGGGCTGCTCTGCATGTAAACAAATCTGAAATAGATCCCATTTACTCTACAGCATTCTTAAATAAACTGAATTATGCATTTGATAGATTTTTGGACTGAAATTCAGAATGATAGTTAACTATCTAGATGAAGCAGTAAGACAAATTGCTCTTTCAGAATGTGTTTCAAGGGAACCATAAAATAATCATTTTGCACATTTTTCTTGTATGTAAAAACGATGTCACAAATGATTTCTACTGTAATTAAATATGCTAAGTTAAAATCAATGTTTTGTTTTGTTGCTTTGCTTTACAGGAATAATTCATCAGATGAAAGGAGACTTTGATACTGCACTAAAATTACACAAGGCTCACCTTTCGATTGCCCAGGAATTAAATGATTATGCAGCTCAAGGCAGGGCTTATGGTAATATGGGGAATGCCTACAATGCGCTTGGAATGTATGACCAGGCTGTTAAGTATCATCGGCAAGAACTTCAGATATCAATGGAGGTCAACGACAGAGCTTCTCAAGCTTCTACACATGGGAATTTGGCTGTTGCATATCAAGCTTTGGGTGCTCATGATAGAGCTTTACAACACTACCAAAACCATCTGAACATTGCTCGGGAACTAAGGGACATTCAGAGTGAAGCTCGAGCTCTAAGCAATCTTGGGAATTTTCACTGCTCTCGAGGTGAATACATGCAAGCAGTACCTTTCTATGAACAGTACTTGAGAATATCACCTGAACTGCAAGACATGGAAGGAGAGGGTAAAGTGTGTCACAATCTTGGCTATGCTTATTATTGCCTAGGAAATTACCAGGATGCTGTAAAATACTATGAACAGGATTTGGCATTAGCAAAGGATCTCCATGACAAACTAAGCCAAGCTAAGGCATATTGTAACTTGGGCCTTGCATTTAAGGCACTATTGAACTATAATAAAGCTGAAGAATGCCAGAAATACCTTTTGTCATTGGCACAGTCTTTGAATAATTCTCAAGCAAAGTTCCGCGCTCTTGGGAATCTTGGCGATATTTTTGTTGCTAAGAAAGATGTAAATGGTGCAATAAAATTTTACGAACAGCAACTAGGTTTAGCTCATCAAGTCAAGGACAGGCGGCTAGAGGCTAGCGCTTATGCTGCTTTAGGTAGTGCTTACAGAATGATACAAAAATATGACAAAGCATTGGGATATCATACACAGGAGCTTGAGGTCTTCCAAGAATTAAATGAATTGCCAGGAGAATGCAGAGCTCATGGTCACCTTGCTGCTGTATATATGTCTCTTGAGAAGTACACTATGGCCTTCAAATGCTATGAGGAACAGCTTGAGCTGGGGCAAAAGCTTAAAGACCCTGCGATAGAAGCTCAGGTGTATGGGAATATGGGCATCACTAAAATGAACATGAATGTCATGGAGGAGGCTATTGGTTATTTTGAACAGCAGTTAGCCATGCTACAGCAATTGAGTGGAAATGACTCTATCCTTGACAGAGGTCGTGCATATGGAAACTTGGGAGATTGTTATGATGCCCTTGGAGACTATGAAGAAGCAATAAAATATTATGAGCAGTATTTATCTGTGGCTCAGAGCTTGAACCGACTTCAAGATCAGTCCAAAGCATACAGGGGACTCGGAAATGGACACAGGTATGAAAAAGGAATATTTGCAAATTAATGGTATACTTTCTGCATTTTAGGTCTTCCTAAGAGCAATACACAGAATGCTTGTTGAACACTTTTTCTTTGCAATCCTTTTGCAGTGTTTCCAGAAGCATGGGGCTGTAATCACTATCAGTGATACATATACTCATTCTGGGTAGTTCATGGTGGGGGTTTAGCAGCTTCCAATAGCCATTAAACAGAGTAGGGTGATTAATTCTCACAGCAGATGTGTCTGCTATTGTAAGCTTTAGTGATAGAGACAGCAGTGTTTTGATTGGATGCTGGTACTATCAGTGAGCAAGAGTGTCAGAATCTGTATCAAAATCACAGGAATATATGACAGAGAGGCTATGCAGAGATCAAACGTTGAGCTCTGCACTTGTAACCCCTTTATGGATCTAAGCAGTTTTTAAATTTTAGAGGCTTGTTGATTCATCAATAACTTAGTTAACACTTAAGATAAAAAAGAAATTTACTTTTTTTGGACTATATCTTAAAGATCCATGGAGTGCTGGCAATATACATACTTGTGTCTATGATGTTACCAGTGTCCTGCTGATAGTTGCTGCAACACATTTTTATTTATGACTATTTCCAGGAATGTTTGTGATCGGAATATTATATATGGTCTACTAAAAAAATTAGAAAACAAATAAATTAAAATTAAAAAATATACAGTATATTGTATATATATTATTGGGGGATACAAAGAGAAAAGAAAATAGCAGGAAAAAAATGCCAAGGTGATTAAAGGCAGGAAGAAATTAAATAGGCTGATTTGGGTTACTTGTGACCCAAGGTTTTTTACTGACATCATATGCAGATCAAGTGTCACCCCTTTGATCTGCCATGAATGAAGCAGAGAAGTTACAACTAAATAATAATGCAAATGGTACATCATAACTTTCAGGTGTGGAAAGATTATTGTATTAAAAGTGTATTAAAATGGTTTGTCTGTGCTCCAACTTTGGAATATTCAGATATGCACCGCTTAATACCTCATTTTAAATAGTATGCATATGTTTTCTTGTACAGTATATGCCACATTTTAGTTTATCACTTTAGCCCTTTAGTCCTTTAAAAGTCAGAAGTGTTTAATTCAGTAATCCAAAAACTATAATTTAGTATGTGGCTTACACTGTATGTTGACACATCTCCTTTTTACACACTTTTTTTTTAATTGCTGTAGGTCCATGGGAAATTTACAACAGTCTCTTGTATGCTTTGAAAAAAGACTTGTGGTCGCTCATGAACTTGGAGAGACATCAAACAAAGCCCAAGCATATGGAGAACTTGGAAATTTGCACAGTCAGCTAGGAAACTATGAGCAAGCGATATCCTGCCTAGAACGTCAACTGAACATTGCCAGAGAAATGAAAGATCAGATACTGGAGAGTGATGCAGCCTGTGGTCTGGGTGGAGTCTACCAACAAATGGGAGAGTTTGATACTGCACTACAGTACCATCAGCTGGACTTACAGATAGCTGAAGAAACCAACAATCCATCTTGCCAAGCTCGAGCTTATGGAAATCTGGGACTTACTTATGAATCTCTGGGTAACTTTGAAAGAGCAGTAGTTTATCAGGAACAGCACCTTAGCATTGCAGCAGAAATGAACGACCTGGTAGCAAAGACAGTGGCCTATAGTAGCTTAGGAAGAACGCATCATGCTTTACAGAATTATTCCCAAGCAGTAATGTACTTGCAAGAAGGTGAGTAATTAGCAGGTAATGATCACTTACGTTAAAGGAGATACATACATAAACAGGATGTGATTTAACAGACCAGGCCACCTTCTTCCATTGCTCTGTGGTCTAGTTTGCTGGACTTATGCGTATGTGCCCAGTGTAGGCTCTTTTGGCTGTGGACATGGATCAGCATTTTAAAATTTAAATAAAATGCTGATGTGACATCCTAAGATGGACTTGTAGGAAGGCATGGTTATACAAATACTGATTGGCCTGCTATTTAACTCAACCAACATACCTTCTAAAATTACAGAAAATATGGTTGTGGGGTAGAATTGCAGAATAACACAAAAAACAGCGCAAAAATTAAATAAATAAAAATAATCACAAATAAATGTCCGTGCAACAATATATATATAATATTTCAAACATAAGTCCTTATTTTCCCAAAAGGATTTTCAAGACAATGTTCCAAAATGTGCTTCCACCTAATCACCACGTGAAAAATAATATTGACCGCACTCACCAGATGGAGGTGAGTAATAAGCCTCATAGGATATAAGGGATCCTATAGCCCCTCAGGAGGAACTCAAATCACCTTCACCCTGCTTAGATACAGCAATCGACTCCACTCTACTTCTCCATGGAATCCTCAATAATGTGCAAGGAAAGAAAGGCTACATAGTGTAATACTGCCACTCAATACCATATAAATCAATAGAATAAGGACACTCACATGTTTCAATAAAATAACAGGCCTTGTTTAATAGCCTCAAAGGCTTCAAAGGAACAAGTTTCCAAATTGTAAATATAGGGATCTCACGCTTTAAGGGTCACTGTAGAGGATGACCAGCTTTCCACCTCAAAAATGGCTGTTTGAACCGCAAAAGTCGGCGTGCGTTCCAAATACCGGAAGTGACGTAGGCCAAGATGACGGCAGACCGGAAGTGCGTCAACGCGTTTCGTCCCACCCAAGAACGCCCTGTGGGTGGGGTGAAACGCGTTGACGCACTTCCGGTCTGCGTTTCGGCCTACGTCACTTCCGGTATTTGGAACGCACGCCCTTTTGCGGTTCAAGGGTTGAGGTGGAAACTGGTCATCCTCTACAGTGCACTTAAAGCGTGAGATCCCTATATTTTATTGAAACATGTTCCTTTGAAGTGCTATTAAACCTTATTTTTATTATGTGAGTGTTTATTCTATTGGATTTAATGGTATTGAGGCAGTATTACACTATGTAGCCTTTCTTTCCTTGCACATTATTGAGGATTCCATGGAGAAGTAGAGTGGAGTCGATTGCTGTATCTAAGCAGGGTGAAGGCGATTTGAGTTCCTCCTGAGGGGCTATAGGATCCCTTATATCCTATGAGGCTTATTACTCACCTCCATCTGGTGAGTGCGGATCAATATTATTTTTCACGTGGTGATTAGGTGGAAGCACATTTTGGAACATTGTCTTGAAAATCCTTTTGGGAAAATAAGGACTTATGTTTGAAATATAATATATATATTGTTGCACGGACATTTATTTGTGATTATTTTTATTTATTTAATTTTTGCGCTTTTTTTTGTGTTATTTATGATTGGTGGTTTTCACTGGTGCACAGCTACATAATTGTATACTTTCTTTGATTGGCGCTGGGATTTTTTTAGTTTGTTAGAATTGCAGAATGCTGGCATTAATGGGCAGAAACTGAAAAATTGTGTCTATTGTTCCTTTAAGATGCATAAAGTCTATCTGAACCTTAACCAGGAATTTCTCTTATTTGCTCCATGCTGGTTTTTTATAAAAGTACAATTGAAAGTGTTTTTTATTCTGTTTGATAAGTGCAAAATTGTTCCTGTGGATCCTGACAGATATCTAGTGAGCCAATAATGTTCAGTTCACTTTGGGGTAGATTTACTAAAACTGGAGCATTCAGAATCTGGTGCAGCTGTGCATGGTAGCCAATCAGCGTCTAACTTCAGCTTGCTCAGTTGAGCTTTCACAATAAAATCTAGAAGCTCAATTATTTGTATGGAGAGTTGCATCGGATTTTACACTCTTCAGTTTTTTTACTAAATCGGCCCCTTTGTCTGTTCTGCACTCTTATTAGAATCGCTCCCAGTGCTCTCTGTGAACTTTACTAAATCTATTAGAAAATGTGTTTTTATTGCTCTTTGACTTCCCCTCACTTTCTGTTCTGTCTGAGAAATAGACAGGTGGTGCAGAGAAGTCTCCCAAATGGGAACACAGCAATAAAATTTTGACAGAAGTTCTAACACTTTCTTCTCTATTAAAAAAAAGTAAGAGTTTGACCTGTAGTTGGGCTTTAATTGCTTTTTTGTCTCTGTTGGGAAGAATTTTCCTCACTTTCCACTGACACATAGATAACAGTTAAAATGTGATAGAGGTTTCCTATTCTTTTTACAAAAAAAGAAAAAAAAAATGATTTGTTGATGTATGTGTCCCCATTGACTTTCCTTTAAGTTTATGCCACATAGACATGTTAGACAGTGAGGGGAAATCTTTTTAAGAAATAATGTCCAATGCCCTTGATTTAAAGTGATTGTAAATGTACAAAATACTTACTTGCTCTGTGTAATGGTTTTGCACTGAGAAGCCCTGATTCTGTTCTCGGGTCCCACTCTGGCAACCCCCCCCCACACCTGTCAAGCACTCCCCTAGACAAGTTGATTGCTCTGGGGGCACTCGTTCATGCGTGCTCGCTCCCTAGCTGGCCCTGTCTGTCCATAAGATACACAGAGCTTGGCTCAGCCCTACTCCCACTCCCTCTTCACAGACTGTGATTGACAGCAGCAGGAGCCAATGGCTCCTACTGCTGGGTCTTTGTCAATGAGGAGGGAAAGACCTGGGAGAGCCACTGCTCTCGTGCACATCGCTGGATCAAAATTGGACTCAGGTAAGTATTGGGGGCTGAGGGGGGAGCTGCACACTGAAGTGTGTTTACCTTCATGCATAGTGTACACAGAGGTAAAAAACCTTCAGCCTTTAGAACAACTTTAATTTTCTTCAACAAAATGGTGTCCGTCTGCACACAGACACTAACTCCTGTTGCATAAGTGTAATGAGATGTGTAAAACATGTTTTCAGCTCTTGTTCTCCACCTGTAGAGGACTTCTCAGAGGTGTTTTGCTCTTTTTGGGGCTTAATCATAGGGGCCTTTGGTCATTTAAGGTAGCTATACACGGCTTAATATTGCCTTGTTCAGAAAGTCAGAGGACTTCCCCATTCACACTTACGGTACATGCACACTGGATGCGGATAACAATTGCCCTGGATATTTTTCTTTTGACAGCAAAACAAAGGTTGGCGCTGGTAAACGTGTGTAGAGGAGCGTTTACAACCTCTAAACTCTGCTGCTCCTAAACTCTGGTAAAAGCCTATGTGTGTATTGACCCCTAAGCTTTTACTGAGTTGAGTTCAGGGGCTCAACGTGGGTTTAGGAGCAGCAGTGTGCATGAGGCCTAACAGCCTGCTATTGTATTCAGGCAGCCACAGCATACACAACTGCCTAAATACAGTGGTGTTTGTGAACAATGACTACACTTGTTAAAATGCAGCCATTGTTTAGCCAATGATTTCCCACCCAGCTCAGTCAATTTTCAGATTGACTTTTTTCACTTCGGTAATGATTTCATGATCAGTTCAGCATGAATCAGCCAAAATTCAAGGTGTCTACGGTCAACCTTAATCATTACCTTACATTCTCTCTGTTTTTATCTTGCACAAAGGTTTGAGATTAGCAGAACAGCTGTCCCGCAGAGAGGATGAAGCCAAAATTAGACATCGCCTCGGACTCTCTCTTTGGGCTAGTGGAAATTTGGAAGAAGCTCAACACCAGGTTAGTGCCCATAACATTCAATAAACAGTAAATATGCATAAGAGAAATATTAGGTTATGTTTTACACTGCCTGATATACTGTAGATAGATGACTAGAAAATTTAAATATAGTCAAAGGTGGTCGAAACAGATTCTGAATTTAATTTTGAATCATAGTTTAAAGAGGTGTGATGTTTGAAGGTCAGTTGTCCATAAAAACAATTTAGAAGTAATCTTTTACGCATCTAATTACAGTAAACTAAAACTTCACTGACTGCTATGGGTTTACAAAGTAAAATAGCAGCCAGTCAGAAATTAATTTTAAAGCTGAACTCCAGGCATATATAGAAGCACATGCATATGCAGCCCTACATTCATTATACACTCATTGGTCACTTTATTAGGTACATCTTGCTAGTTCTATGTTGGACCCCCTTTTGCCTTCAGAACTGCCTTAATTCTTCATAGCATAGATTCAGAACGGTGTTGGAAACATTTCTGAGAGATTTTGATTCATATTGACATGATAGCATCACGCAGTTGCTGCAGATTTGTTGGCTGCACATCCATGATGTGAATCTCTCGTTCCCACCACATCCCAAAGGTGCTCTATTGGATTGAGATTTGGTGACTGTGGAGACCATTGGAGTACAGTGAACTCATTGTCATGTTCAAGAAACCAGTCTGAGATGATTTGAGCTTTGTGACATTATCCTGCTGGAAGTAGCCATCAGAAGATGGGAACACTGTAGTCATAAAGGGATAAACATGGCCAACAACAATACTCAGGTAGGCCATGGCGTTCAAACAATGCTAAATTGGTACTAAGGGACCCAAAGTGTGCCAAGAAAATATCCCCCAAACCATTACACCACCACCAGCCTGAACCGTTGATACAAAGCAGATTGAATCCATGCTTTCATGTTGTTTACACCAAATTCTGACCCTACCATCGAGATTCATCAGACCAGGCAACATTTTTCCGATCTGCTCTTTTTGGTGAGCCTGTGCATGTTGTAGCCTCCATTTCCTGTTCTTAGCTGACAGGAGTGGCACCCAGTGTGGTCTTCTGCTGCTGTGGCCCATCTGCTTCGATGTGTTCTGCTTAAAGAGATGGTATTCTTCATACCTTGGTTGTAACGAGTGGTTATTTGAGTTACTGTTGCCTTTCTATCATCTCCAACCAGTCTGCCCATTCTCCTCTGACCTCTGACATCAAGAAGGAATTTTCATCCACACAACTGCCTCTCACTGGATATTTTCTCTTTTTTGGACAGTTCTCTGTAAACCCTAGAGATGGTTGTATGTGAAAATCCCAGTAGATCAGCAGTTTGTGAAACTCAGACTGGCCCGTCTGGCACCAACAACCATGCCACGTTCAAAGTCACTTAAATCCCCTTTCTTCCTCATTCTGAAATTGAAATTTCAGCAAGTCATCTTCACCACGTCTAAATGCCTAAATGCATTGAGTTGCTGTCATGCTAATTAGCAATTTGTGTTACCAAGCAATTGAACAGGTGTACCTAATAAAGAGGCTGGTGAGTGTACATCATTACATGTATATTTTTTAAAATGAATAGTGTAGGTTTATTCATTTGACTTGATATCAGCTCTTTCCAGTCTGCTATACAGCAGCACTGTACACTGGTCAGCAGCTAACCACGTGTGCTTCAAGCAAGTGTATTGACAAGGAGCATGCTCATAGGGAGAGAGATCAGAGTAAGTAGAGGGATGACTCCAACTGTCTGCTTCTATCGTCTCATTATCCAGTCAGAAGGCAAGGGGTGGACAGGGGCACCACTATATACTTTAACTTGCATGTGGCATCATACAGCTGACTGTGCTGTGTGAATGGGCTGTGTAATGTTCAGAACTTGATGGTAACAAGCACAAATCCTTTGACAGTAAAACACCTCTCATATATGTATTTATCTGTGTACTTAGCTGTTAGCCTGGAATTCAGCTTTAAACACTCTAGTGTTGACAGGACTTTTTTTCTGTGCAGTTATAGTGTGTGCACCATGTTTTAAAGCCTTTATTATGGCAATAAATTAAATGTCAAAATGACTGAATTTTTGGATCTGAACTATCAGTTTTTATATTAAAGGAAATCCCTGACAACAATAATTTTTAATGCAAAAGTTTCAATGTTAGCATTGGAATAAGTGGCATATGTGTACTGTGTGGAGCACATTGGATCATGCTTTATTGGTGCTTTTTTGCCTTCCTCTGGATCAACTATGTAACCACTGTTTATGATCTTCTATTGATAATGTGGTATGACATCATCTGTGTTCAGGCTGTTACACTTCTAAGTTTGCTATGATTTTTTACTTTTAATTTGTGTGATATTCCTTTTTGTAGATGTACAACTATCACGTGTACAAAGTTGTGTTTTGTTGTTCAATATGAATCAAAATCTAAAGATTTCCCAGAATTTTGAAATATCTTTAAAAGCAAATAGCATGCAACAAAGCACCACCAGATTGAATCAAATATTAACTCCCAGAACTGATATCTTAGTGTTTGGTGTGTAGTGACCCCTACAGTCATCTTTCTTTCATCTACTTTTTGCAATCTTTATTGGGCCATCAACTGGAGACAGTGAATGTAACTTTTCCTGGTGAGCATTTGCCATCTAGTGCTGTAAAAACCCCTCTAATGGAATCCCTATAGAAACAAATGTCACAATATAGTCTTCAAAGCATGGTACTTTGGCAGAATGCCAGGCTTTGATTAGCTTAATTCAGCTCAGATATTATAGTGCATTTTACTGCACCCATTTATCAAGAGTACTAAAGTAACATAAGGAGAATTGTAAATGAAACATGTACTAAGAGGATTATAAAGGGCATTAATCTCCAAACAGCGGCCTAGGGGCCGGATGTGGCCCTTTGCTTACTCTTACCTGGCCCTTGGGGCAATATTTCATCCTCTGACATCATTTGTGGGGCATAATTGGCACCAGTGACAGCAATGAAGGGGCATAATTCCTTTCAATTATACCAACAATGGAGCTCAGCTCCTCTCAATGACACCAGTGATGGGGCTCAATTCCTCCCAGTGACACAGATGAGGTATGATTTTTCACACCCAATGACACCAATGATGGGGCATAATTCCTCTCACTGACATAAAAGATGAGACATTGGTTACTCCCACTGAAGCCAGGGAATTTTCTACTTCCAATAGCCACAGTCTTCTCCCCCTAAAGTCTGATGGACAGTAAACTGGCCCTTTGTTTAGAAAGTTTGGAAACTCCTGATGTAGGGTATAATTTCAGACTGCTCCTAGTGCAAATGCCAGCTGCCTGACTGTCATTGGGTTTAATATTCTTTATATCACTGACTTAGAATGAGCCTGCAGGTAAGGAAATCACAATAAAGTTAGCCACCTGATCTGAATACTTGTGTTAGGTCAAAGACTTTACAAAATACCTACACTGACAGTATTATAACAGCAATGCATTTGCCATTTTCAGGAGTGGTCAGCAATGTCAACCTACTTTTTGTAGAATGGATTTTCTTAAAGGACAACTTAACTTTTAACAAAGTTTTCCTTTTATGTACCTCCCCTCTCTCTTAAGTGATGCATAGATAGTAAAATACTCACCTTCATTCTGGGAACCATACAGCCTTTGTAGCTAAAGAAGTCAGCCACATTCATTTCCTACTTCATATGCCCACCACTTCCCCATTCACTTGAGCTTTGTGCATGCACTATTGAAGCTAGTGAAGAACAAGGGTAAGTATGTATGTAGATGCCAAGGTACTCACAAAAGTGTTTTAACCTTCCACCTAAACAAGGTAATTACCAACCTGATGCACAGAGATCTAACTGGCTTCATGCTGTGAAAAGGCACGGATATTAACTTGCGTAGATCGTTCACCAATATTGCTCATTGCATTGGCTCTTGAGCTCCTGGAATGGTGGCTTCTCTTGATGCTTAGAAGGCCTTTGACTCGGGGGGTAGGGAATACTTGTGGATGGTCTTACGTAAATTTGGGCTTGAGCTCAATTTCATCTCATGTGTATGACTCCTGTATTCCACCCCCATAACCAGAGTTCGAGCTCTACTAAGAGGGGTGGGGGAAACAGGATAAGTTCACTAAAAATAAAGTTTTCCTTTCAACAAACAGATGTTTTTGTAGAACAGAATTAAGTGTTTAAAATAATTAGATTCCTCAGCCCAATCTTTAGTAGAAAAAACAAAAGACTAATAATTTTCAGATAGTATTCTGCATTGAAAAGTTCCTGTATGGTGTTCCACTTGCAGCATGCTAGGCCCATGTGTTCCACTGAATCCTTTTCTTTTCCTCTAGTGGAAAATATTGCGCTAGAAATAGAGCATATTCACTTAACATTCCTGCCATTTTATGGTTTATGTTTCAGAAATGTAGCATAATCAATATACATAAAAAGAAAACATACTACGCACTGTAAATAAATATACCACAGCATCTGCTCTTTCTTTAGCGCAGCTTCCATAATTCCAGTTTAATTACAGTGGTATGAAGTGACCAAAATAGCCACAATCCCTCAAGGAGGCTTCAATTACAAGACAGGTTGTCAAATATTTAATGAGCAAACTGTTTTCTCTGGTTTCAGCTTTACCGAGCTTCAGCGTTATTTGAAACAATAAGACACGAAGCCCAGCTCAGCACTGATTATAAGCTCTCTCTCTTCGATCTACAAACCTCGTCATACCAGGCTCTGCAGCGTGTACTCATCAGTCTTGGTAAGAGGAGCTACATTATTTGGTCGTGGAGAAGGACTGTTGTCATGACAGTTAAAGTGGACCTGACATACACGTGTAACTCATTGCTGCTTTTAAATCATTAAATCTGAATTTGTCTTCAGCTGGGGTTGTTAACGGCAAAAGAATGATAACTATAGCTGACTTTATGGACCTTTCCCTAAATCACATTATCAGGGACCATTATTCCTTTAGACTGCTACAGTGCTGCTGATTTGGTCTTCTCTGCCCATATCATGAATAAGAAAGCAGGTCTGGTAAGGGGAAATATGTAGCTTATTTTTTTTTTTTTTTGCTGTTATTAGATTATGTGTGTGTTGCTCAAAATTCAGGTTTCAGGCTCTCTCCTGCCACAACCAAAAATGTAAATTGGACAAGCAGCACATTCTAAACATTACAAAATAAGTCCAAATGAATGTGACAAACTACCACTAGCTGTAATTTGTATGCTGTAGTAGGATTTATGGCATGTACACTTTGTTTTTCAGTGCACTGACTTTGTTGTGAAATACTGTATATCCTTCTTGTTTCGGTAGGAAGCACACAATATAAACTCATCAAAGTGATTTTCAAGCTGCTAGAGTTGAAAATGGTTAGAAACCCCAGTCATTTTTTTTGTCTGTGTCATTGGGAAGATTTTCTTTCAATTTCTGTCTGGGAGACACAATAGGAAGTGAGAGTAATTTTATGCCAAGCTAGGGGAAGTCACCTATTAGACAGTTGGCATGTATAAAAATATAAATAAATATAGAAGGTAGCCATCAATTTTTGATACTACCATATTTTGGACAGCATAGAAAAGGAGAAGATATGGTTTCAATCACAATTCACACATCAAGATCCCCCTCTACCCTTTCAATCGTGGTTGCAAAGCACCAGAAAAAAATGGTGAGACCTGGAGAAATCAGTGGCTGACTTTTGACTAAAAGGTGAAACTTACATAACAGTAAGTGCACTGTTTAGTCCGCAAGTTTTGGGAAACTGATGGAGCAGATTTTGAAAGAACCAAAATGTTTACATACCCAATTTTATTTGTAAAAACCATGAATATGAGAAAGAAAAATGAAAGCAGAGCAAGACACTGCCTGATTTTTTCACAGCAGTAGTCTTGTAGAAAAATACCATTGCCATATTGGGTTTCAGCTTGTAATACACAATGTCATATCAAACATAGTTATTAAATGGACCTTCACCTTTCCTGATTACATGGCCAGAAATGTGTAATTTCTTAATCTGTAAGTAGTGTTGTATTTTTTTCTTCCAATAAAATGACTCAAGACAGCCATGGATACTTAAAGTATGTCTTTGAAACTTGGTAACACTTGATTCATACCAGATTTAGAGCAATAAAACAAGCTTTGATAGATTGTTCTCGGCTACCAGCGTGGTATCACATGAAAATGTTATTAGGTTGCATTCTTATAGATTTATAGCATGTTGACATACCTAGACATTAGACTAAGTTACACTTGTATGAAGGAGGGGCTCCTTTATTTGCTGGTAGCATGGGTGGGTGAGAAAGAAGATTTAAAGTAGATCTAAACCCTATTTGGATAGCAGTAAATGATATGACAGCACTGGGTATTATAAACAACTGCCATTTTCTTTTTTTAATAAAATACTTCTTTCACCTTTTTTTATAGTCTTATTTGGCATCTCAGTGCTGCTGATCTCCTCTAGCCTCTTTAAGGTGCTTCTTGACTACATGTACTTACTGAATCATTGCTTTACGACAGGCTTTAAACAGTGACAGTGGTTGGTGGCACATGTATAATTTGTATGAGCATGACTGCTCCCAGTCCCCACCAGACGCACATAGGACAGGGAAACAACCCAGATTTAGGAAGATTGAGATCACCTTTTGAAATTACATTGAGGTTGCATCCAAAAAAGAGCTGAGTGTCTTCGTCATTTTAGATGCTTTTTTTTTCATTTGTACAGGTGTTTTTAGCACTTTTGCAGGTGTCCCAGGCCTCAGCATTTTTTTTTTTCAAATAGATTTTAGCCAATGGAAAACTAGATAGGGGGAAAAAATTCACACTTTTTTGGAGCCTTTTTACATATTTTACATACTCCCAGTTGCAAACTATGGGGGCCAAAATGCTTGAAGTTACGAAGCTTTTAGCTGAAAAGGTTTTAGCTGAAAGGAAGCTTCAGATGACTCTGCACTTATGTGTGAACAGACACAATTGAAAACCATGGGATTCTGGATGTTAAGCATTTTGGAGCCTCAGGATTCAAAATGCTTTGGTGTGAATGGAACCTAAAATATCAGAACTGATATAGGATGTTAGGTACTGAGTTTAGATCTACTTTAATGCTATGTTAGATCAGTACATTGTCATTAAAACAACTTTTCTCTGCTGTAATACTGAAATACAATGCTACAAAGATTTCATCTGAGTTCCTCTTTCAAGTGTATTATTTAATGTAAATCTAAAGCAAAAACGTTTTTGTTGTCTTGGATGGAGTGGTGATGGATTAGTACCAGGGGCGGACTGACCATTCGTGCACTCGGACACTGCCCAAGGGCCCGGGGTCAGTAGGGGGCTCCATGAGATGCCCCTAGTACCTTTCATAGGCTTTTTTGGGTGTGGTTTGAGTGTGGGTGAGGACATAGGGGCCCCATGATCCCCTATTGCCCGGGGGCCCCATGAGTTGTCATTCCACCCCTGATTAGTATCACCTCAAATTTTGTTATACAGTCTAATGAAAGCACCAAACAAATGCCCAAGAGTCCAATGTTTTTAATGATAAAATTCTTCATAGCAGAAAAGAAGCCAATGTGTTTTGCGGACCAAATAGGTTCCTCCCTCAAATCTCAGCATCTTTTCTTCTATTTAACACTCCATGAGGGCACAGAACTCTTTTTTTAAATACATGTGTTAACACAGGCATAACATGCTTTTTGAACTGTTTCAAGCAAAAAAAACACAGATCTATTTGGTATTTGCTTATCTGAGTCCATTTAAACACTCAAAATTCCTGAGCCCTGAAGGGGGGAGTCTGTTTTGCCCCTGAAACACACTTGATTTTTTCTGCTTTGAACTCATTTTAAAAACTCTGGACTCTTGGATGTTTGTTTGGCATTTTCATTGGACCATATTGTGTTTTCCCTGGGGAAATTTACCATCTCTCTTTGTCCTGGTGACTATTGTCATGTGACTGAAGAGAAGCAAAATCCAAAATTTTGAGTTGTCACCAGAAAAGGAATAGAAGGGGAAGTCTTCCAATAGGGACACCTGTCTTGGTTGTTACTGTGTAAGGGAATTTACCTCACTCTAAAGAAGTTTTCTCTTACGCTCTGTTGTGTCTACAGTTTAGCCATTCCCTACTCTACCCAAAATGAAAAAAAAACATGATTTACGAAAGATATTACAGTATAATAGTAATGGTAATCCAAATAGTAATCCATTTCCCCACTCCCACATACTAGTGAAATTCCTAGGCAGTATATGCCAGCAAAGCACCTGCCCTGAAATATGTATTTGGTCAGGAAGCAGAGGATCACTGCAATCAGAAGCTTTTTTAATGGAAATTTACCCTGATTACTGATTTCTATAAAAAAAAGTAGAGGTAAATAACACCTCTGCAAAGCCATATTTAGTTGCATCACTGTGCTATAACCTTAATGGCTGACCCGTTTGCAGAAAAATCCAGCATCTTTTATTGTTGAACCTACTGACTTCAGTAAATCCATCTCATTGTCTGCATTGGTGGCTTTATTTTCAGCTGAGTGATTTTCCAGTTCCTCACAAGTTTTGTAGGACTGTAGTCAAAAATGTTCTTTCACTTATTTTCCTCTATTATAAGCCTCTATCTGAGGCTAACATAATGATTTTGGTGGTTGACTTTAATTGGTTTACCATGTATGCTTATGCAACTTTAATATATTCTTCAGGACATCATGATGAAGCTTTGGCAGTTGCAGAAAGAGGAAGAACTCGAGCTTTTGCAGACCTTCTTGTTGAGCGACAGACTGGCCAGCAGCAAGATTCTGATCCATACTCTCCTGTGACTATTGACCAAATCTTGGAGACAATTAATGGCCAGCGAGGATTGGTGCTCTACTACTCACTAGCTGCTGGTTATCTTTACAGCTGGTTACTGGCTCCTGGTTCAGGTGAGAGAAGAGATGTATTTTATTCTTTCCTATTCTAGCTGTCACTTCAATGTGAAGCATATCATTGTGAAAGAGTTACAAAGCTATAATGCATTTTGGGTCTCTTCTCAAAGATTTAATGAAATACATTTTGATCTAGATCAAGCTATAGATAATTGGATGTCTAAATTATGACACATTTTTAAACAGTTTTTCCAGCCCTGTTCTCTCAATAATTAAACAGTTGAACTCAAAGTTTGTGGCTTGAAATAAAATGCTGACTCTTCATGAAAATCAAAACTAAGACCTCATACACAATGGATATTGAAGAACTGAAATGATTCCAGGTTTAGCAAGGCAGGAATATATTCAGGTCACTTGGTATTACAGTTTGCTGTGTACACTGCAATTGCACAAATGGCAACCACAAAGAATTTTAATTCATGCAAATAATTTAGAGAAATTAACTCTGATGTTTTTTCACCTTTTCGTTTTCTATTTTTTATTTGCAGGAATTTTGAAGTTTCATGAATGCTATCTGGGAGACTCATCACTGGAAAATACCAGCGATTTTACTGAATCTGGAAGTATGTGTTTTCAAGGATCGAATAGTTCAGTTCTAGAGCAATACATAGCAAATGTCCGTGAAACATTAGGAGTGGACTCTTACTACACAAGGTATGTAATTTGACAACTGAGGGCTATGGGAGATCTTTTGCAGTAATGTAATCCTCTGCAATCTTTATCTCTAATACCACTTATTTACAGATGTGACATGTCAGTCAAAATCCCTCGGGTTTCAACCAATGCATAGTCTGATGGCTGCATATAAAGGAAACCTGTACTCTAAAAAGTACAAAGACTTTTATTGCTGACATTCATCAAAGAATACTAGTTGTCATAGTTGGTTATCTGTGGCTCCAATACTGCCTTGGTTCCTGACATGGAACAAGCAGGCAAATTAGAAAGTAAGAACTTTGCATTTTGTTCCAGGTTAGAAAGTAATAAAGCCATTGGACTAGCATGGCAACCAAGCATCTAGCCTTTCCAGTTCAGCAAATGCAGCCTTTGTATTCTCTCAGTACATTTTTTAATTTGGCTACAGTATATAGCTGGAAGATAGTGGGTCTTTTAAGCATGGCTTTCATAGTACTATAGTTATGCTAAATGTTGTTTCTCTAAATAAAAACAAATTTACTGCATTGTAATAATTAACATCATAGCAATCTGTAACTGTCCAAACTAGGTAGACATATTAAGGCTCCTTTCACACGAGGCTGATTTTGGATCCGCTCAGGAGAGCAGGTATGGGCAGCCAGGTGTAAACGGACTCTGCTGTCCATTTACACCCAACTACCCTCTGATATGATCCACCTAAACGGAAGAAGACGGATTCCCTTCTGCCTGTCCATAGAGGTGAATGGACCATCCTGACCATCTGATCAGACCTGCCATGTGAAGGGGGCCTTAAGCATAATTATGCTAATTTTTTATGATTTTTTTTATATAATTTCCCCACTTATTTATGGCAAATGTGTCACAATTAAGACTATTTCTGTCTGGAAATCTTGTTGTGTTGCAGATACGAGAAGGTGATGTAAGCCATTAAGTTTTTTTTTAGTAAATTCGGTCTCCTTAGCTGTTGGCTCCTTTCAGGGCATAAACATAGGACTTAAGGCCCAATTAAAGTCACAGAAATAGATATGCAGTCTGTGTGCAATTTTGGGCCTCATGCACATAGGACATAAAAAGCGCTGCTTTTACAGATTTTTGACCATTTTTTTCAGTCTCTAAATGCACCTCTATGTCAGCCTGTGAGGCCATACACAAATAGGCATCTACAGGTGTATTAGAAGAGGAGCATTTAGGATCAAAATGTGTGCATTCAGGAGTGACATTTGAACAAAAAAAAAATGCTGAATGCACCTAAATCAATAAATAATCGTATCCTTGTGCGCTGCTATGAATATAACACGACACTGTGTACTAAAACAAAATAAACACAGTGTAATGTGCTTAAATTCCCCACCAAAAATATATATATGCTCTATATTTGTGCAATATATGTGCATATATATATAAGAGGGAACAACCAAAACAAAAAATGAATGTGAGCCAGCAGCAATGCACTCAATGGACTATCATACCAGTCACCAAGCCTATAATGAAACACAAATTAGTTAGAAAACAAAACATATGTTAAATGATATCAAACTATAATGATATTGTAGTATACATAACCAAATGTGCATGTATTAACACAACATTTAAACAATCAACTTTCCAATGATGATATAGTGTGCATAAATAAATGTCCATATAGTGGCATGAAAAACAACCTTTCAGGATATCTGTACAGCCACAATTTTCACCTCCATGCTCCACATGTAAATAAATGTTGGTGCACCACTACAACCATGTGTTCTCTCACGTTAGTGAACTGTTCGGTCTGTGAGCGCTTATGTCCCTATACCAGGAAAGAACTCTCCTTTCCACCCGGGGCCATGGCTTCAATCGCGGATGACCTCTTCTCCAAAAACTTAGGTACAAATAACCTTATTCTAGAAGATGGAGATCACTTACACTTTACAGAGGATGAGGAATGTCAGCTGTTTTCCAAAGCCTCTCTGGAGCTCATTCTGATCTCTCTGCAGCACACACCATGCAATCAGCAGTCCTCTGTACTCTTCGTTCAGAGCCCCGGGTGGAAAGGAGAGTTCTGTCCCGATGTAGGGACATAAGCGCTTACAGACCAAACACTTTGTTGGAGGTCATATCTTAAAGGTGAGAGCACACCTGGTGGTAGTGGGTGGTGCAACAAAATTTATCTGCATGTAAAGCATGGAGGTGAAAATCACGGTTGAACGCACACTCCTAAACACTCCTAAACACTAGCTTTAGAATTTATTCTATCCGATGGCCAGAATTATTATTCTGGCCAATGAAATGAAAGAATGCTTGATGCATCTAAACGTGCATAAGCAGCTTTAAGCTCGTTTTGCAGCTGCTTTTTCCTCAGCTGTCTGTGACTAGGCAAAAAGAATGAAAGCTTAAAGCAGAGCTCCACCCAAAAGGGGAAGTTCTGCTTTTAGACTTTGTCCCCCGAATTTGACAGTTACCCACTCCCACTTCCGCTGTGATCTCCTAGGCGATCAGAAGTGGAAGTTGCCCCCCCCCCCCCCCCGTAGTCTTCTGAGACACGTGACAGGTCCCAGGGGCCATTCACAAAGTGCAGTGCTTCTCGCGCATGCGCAGTGGGCACCCGGCTGTGAAGCCGCAAGCTGTCACAGCCAGGTGCCCACACTGAAGATCCTGGCACCAGGGAGAGAAGTCAGCCTGTGAAACCAATGGTGGTGAGGACACCACTGGACCGAGGGATAGGTAAGTGTCTGTATTTTAAAAGTCAGCAGCTACAGTTTTTGTAGCTGCTGACTTTTATTTTTTGTTTTCAGATGGAACTCCGCTTTAACTCCTCCCAAGAGCCATCCCACTGCTTGCATCAGGCTCTTGAAAGGAGTACTGAAGAAGGGTTTTGTGACATTTTCAGGAAGCTATGTGTAGCACACTACTAACTCCTCCCACTATTCATGATCTGCCTGAATTGCATAGAAAAATACAGAAACCGAGTGATGACTTCACTGGGACTAAAATAAGTTATGTAATGAAAATAAAACAAAAAGGTTTTATTTAAAATGATTGAATTAACATGTTGATAAGATGGACAGAAAGGAACCAGGCATGGCAAAATATAAGTACTTTTACTCAAAGGAAAGGATTTTATATAGTAAAATCATTGTGATCATTTTGTGTGAGTTACTGCATTTGTCAATACTACACAAAATACTAAAGTATTGGGCATATCGGTAGCTTATCTACAAGGTGTACAATGCCTTCACTAAATGCCAACTATGTAAAACGGGTAGAATTAATTGTTTCCTAAACTATACTTAGAAGAATGGTTGGGTGTTTTTTTTTTTTCTTTTTTTTGAGAGGGCACCTACGCGCAACAGTCCGAGATAATATGAACGTTTTTCACTAAAGTTCATACATACAAATTCATACACCCAAACCCCAGCAATATAAATCAGATCAAAGCAGTAAGCACAGGTCAAAGGAGACTACATTTCTTTTTTTTTCTGTAGTAGTGGAGAAAATAAAAGTTGGATGTATTCAGCCAATCATATTATAAAATGTTTTCAGTCAGTTAAAGGCTAAGTTCATATTTTGAAAAAAAAAAGAGAGAATTGCACCCGTGGTCAGAAGATCGTGGAGGCTCCTGTAGCCTCTCAGGATAGCTGTCTGCTCATGCCCCCGTACAGGAAGGCAGTTACTTGGGAGCAGGAAGATCAATGAACTACAAGAGCGCTCACCATCACCCATGCAGTTCATTGAGAACTACAAGCCATCAGTCGCAATGGGTATTTATTCACAGGAAACTGTGAATGAATGGTGCGGCCGTGTGGGTGAAAATTGTGACAGTGGGTGTGGCGAGAAGATCCCCCATCCGCTGTCACAGGGAGGGGAGGATTAGGGGGAGAAAGAGTGCAGGCTGAACATGTTACATGTTACACCCTAAATACGGGTGTAAAGTATAACATATTGAGATAGGTGAACGTAGCCTATAAATATGAAATGTTCTGTATACATATTATGTAGAGTAGCATCTTTAGGCTCCCTTTTCATGTGTCCCTCTGTCTTATTTGTTTCTTTGCTGTAAAAAGCACTTTTTTTCACATTTCAGTGATACAAGTTGAAATTTAAACAGAAACTAAAAGGCCAGGAGAACCCCTTGTTGGACAGCTTAGTTTAGGTAGGTCAAAGACAGCTATTGCTACACTATATTGCCAAAAGTATTGGGACGCCCCTCCAAATCATTGGATTCAGGTGTTTCAATCACCTCCATGGCCAGAGGTGTATAAAATCAAGCACCTAGGCATGCAGACTTCTTCTACAAACATTTGTGAAAGAATGGGTCGCTCTCAGGAGTTCAGTGAATTCAAGTGTGGTACCGTGATAGGCTGGCATCTATGCAATAAGTCCATCCATGAAATTTCCTTGCTACTAAATATTCCACGGTCAACTGTTAGTGGTATTATAACAAAGTGCAAGCAACTGGGAACAACAGCAACTCAGCCACAAAGTGGTAGGCCATGTAAAATACAGAGTGGGGTCACCGCATGCTGAAGCGCACAGTGCACAGAAGTCGCCAACTGTTTGCAGATTCAATAGCTAAAGACCTCCAAACTTCATGTGGTCTTCAGATTAGCACAACAATAGTGCATAGAGAGCTTCATGGATTTGGTTTCCATGGCCGAGCAGCTGCATCCAAGCCTTACAATACCAAGTGCAATGCAAAGCTTCAGATGCAGTGGTGTAAAGCATGCTGCCACTGGACTCTAGAGCAGTGTAGACATGTTCTCTGGAGTCAAGAATCACACTTCTCTGTCTGGCAATCTGATGGACGTGTCTGGGTTTGGTGGTTGCCAGGAGAAAGGCACTTGCCTGACTGCGTTGTGCCAAGTGTAAAGTTTGGAGTAGGGGGGATTATGGTGTGGGGTTGTTTTTCAGGGGTTGGGCTTGGCCCCTTAGTTCCATTGAAGGGAACTCTTAAGGCATCAGCATACCAAGACGCATTTGGACAATTTCATGCTCCCAACTTTGTGGGAGCAGTTTGGAGATGGCCCCTTCCTGTTCCAACATGACTGCGTACCAGTACACAAAGTAAGGTCCATAAAGACATGGATAAGTGAGTTTGGGGCGGAAGAACTTGACTTGTCTCACCTTGACCTGACCTCAACCTGACATTTAGGCTGAATTAGAGGGGAGACTGCGAGCCAGGCCTTCTTGTCCGACATCAGTGCCTGACTTCACAATTGCACTTCTGAAGAATGGCAAAACATTCCCATAAACACACCTTGTGAGCAGCCTTCCAAGAAGAGTTGAAGCTGTTCTAGCTGCAAAGGGTGGGCCAGCTCAGTATTGAACCCTACGGACTAAGACTGGGATGCCATTAAAGTTCATGTGCGTGTAAAGGCAAGCGTCCCATTACTTTTGACAATGCAGTGTATGTTACTTCTGTAGATATCCCACAGTGCTCTGGGTATCCTTTGTCATTAATTTTAGAAACAAAGATAGTATACTGTATATAGCAGTGGATAATGTATAAAATATTAGTTTAAAAACATGCACACATTTCAATAATAAAAACCAGAGCTATTATTGTTTTTTTTTAGGTTAGCAATTCATAGGCAAATCTTTCTTTTGTTGCAGCCAAAAAAACAAACAAGCAGAACAGTACATTTTGTAACAATTTCCCTAGTAAACAATTCTACTGACAGAGTGGTATTACTAGAGGCACACTGCATTACTAGGTGAGCAAACCCATCTGTAAAGAGTATAATTTCATCATAGTACATATTGTGCATATAACATTGGATAGAAAGCAGAGTCCAGACTTTTCAGCTATAGTTTAATGACTAATACACTGTATGTTTGAAACATAATAGCATATTCTCACTGGGGCTCATCTATGAAGAATGATGTACAGAGCCTGTTATAATACACTATTTGGATATGCAGCAAATAAATCTACAGAAGCTTCTTCTTTCATTAACAAAAAAGTATTTTCCTTGGCTATCTACAGTTTCCTCATTCGTTAACAAAAGAGTATTTCTCTGGCCTGTCAGCCAGCTGATAAATCCATTTCCTCTTTGATGTTTCTTTTAAGGTTTCAGGTTTACAAGGGCCTAGGAGTCCAATATATAGAAGCTCAAAATTTATTAAAGTGGACCTATACTTAGATGGTAACATAAAATTTGTATATAATTTGTAAGGCCCCACATGGCTTACAGATAATAGTTTAGACTTTATTAAAGTACAACGTATTTTGGCCCCTCTATCAATTTCTTTCACGTATCCCAACAAAACTGTCAGCATAGCTTTATGTTAATATTTAAGTGTAGGTCCTCTTTAAGGCCTCTGGGCTTGTTTACACTAGTGGTAGGGGGCCATAAAAACAGGCAGTTGACCTGCATTTTTACTGCCCACTAAACCCTCTCCCCCCTTAAATTGCAATGGCAGCTGGGAGGGGTTATACACATCATCCCCCATATCTCATTTGGTAGGCATTACCACTGTTGAATGTGACCAACTCAAATGAAAGAGGTTGTTCTGCAACCACCTTGCAACAGTGTGCAATGCACATGGTGACAGCGGCGTGGGGCAGCATTTACAGGGTTACATCAGGCGGTGAGAAGACAACATATTGCCCCCTTACCACCTGTCAAACGCCTCTGAAAAGTCATGCATTGCAGATTATATTTCAGAGGGGTGGCAGGGCCTACACTGGTCAACATTGCCCCTGTTTCAAGACCAGGTTTTTTCAAGCTGTCTACTAACCATCAAGTTTGTTCCCAGCTTTGTTTAATATGAAATTAAGTCTAAGTCTATTCCTACCTTCTTTACAATTACCTGAGAAGGAATGCTGTTAATTGCAAGGTAATGACCGTTGTAAATTTTGATTATGTTCTCGACTCAGTTTTTTTAGTAATGGTGTTGATAAGTGACATTAAAGTAGACTTAGCATTAGATCTATTTTTATGTCAATTGCATGCATGCTAATTAATGTGCAACTGTAAGATTTAGGAGCATCTTTCCTTTTAATAAATAATTTGAATATCACTTTGCTTGCTTTACTGTCCTGAAGCAAACAGAGTACAGTTCACATTTGTAAAAGTTTATAACTGGCAGTGGGTTTTTTTTTTCAGTTTTAATTTTTTTTTTATACAGCAGCCATATCATTGCTTCATAAATGGAGCCTTTTGATGTATTTATTACTTTTCACAGAATTCAAAGTATTCAATCTAAAATTGCTTTTTCTAATCAGAAGGATGGATCCATCTTAATTCAGGCATTATATAAGGTCATCATTTACTTCCTTGACAGAGATGGTGGCTGAGTGATGACAGTCATGAAAACCCTGGTTCCTTTTGGCTTTTGGCTGTGTTCATAAATATAAACATAATGTGGTTAGGTAGCAGCCCTTAGGTTTTATGCTAAAGTGCTATCTTCACAAGTTCAAAAGCAAATATACTGTATTATACTAGGGCACAAAATTACACCAAAAATTACATAGTGCAAAATTAAAGGCAACAATACTTACCTATGTTGCAACGGAATAATTCCCATGAAGTCCATTGCTGGCACCAGCATCTTCTCCCAGGCTTCTTCCAGGTACCAATCTTCGGCTGTCTTGATTGGCTGGTACATTCTGCAGAGGATTATGAACATTAAGTTTATTTTATTGCAAAAAAGGCATTGCTCAACTCATCTGCAATAAAGAGTCTGCTAGTTTGTAAGTTTTTATTTTTTTGCCTTTTAGTTCTGCTTTAAATGATTTATTGGTACAAACATACTCAAATTTTATATAAACAGATTACAAACAATCCATATCCAATTTCACCAGTCATGAATGGGAAACACATCTCATAGAGATATCCACTTCATCAGGACCCTTTAGCGAAATAGAAGGCAAATACAATTAAAAATCATAAATTATAATAAAAATAATAAAATGAAATGCAGATGCAACCCCACAATAAAAAATATCACATACCTCACATACAAAACTGTCTTCATAAAAACAATACATACATTTAATAATAGATCCATACTGCACGTTCAATGTAACCCTAAAAAGCATTCAAAAACCATATGGACCATGGAAAGAAACTATTTTGCAGCCTGCGGGTACGAGAGGAAATACTTCTAAACCACCTGCCAGAAGGCAACACTATGAACACGGCTTTCACAGGATGAGAACTATGTTTCCGAATATTACTAGCTCTCTGAAGGTTCCTCCCCTACCCCAGTTCTTCAATACTTGGTAAATTTAGCCCTTTAATATTTTTCTGCACTGTTTTTTATTACCCTGCTTGTTTTTGTCATGAACTGTGCACATCCCTTTGCCACAGAGAGATATGATAAACTATCACACTCTCAATGCCAGCCTTATAGAAGCTGAGGAGGACCTGCACCTAGATTGTAAGCTCTAACGAGCAGGGCCCTCTGTTTCCTCTTGTACTAAATTGTATTGTAAATGTAATGTCTACATTCATTTTGTAAAGCGCTGCGCAAACTGTTGGCACTATATAAATCCTGTATAATAATAATAAAAATGCTTGTCCTCCACAGCTTCCTCAAAAAGTACAGTATCTGATAAACCTTACCCACCAGACAAGATATGTGCCCTGTCCATGACAGATCCTCCATAATTATTATTCCCAAAAAAGTCCTTTACCCTCTTGACCTCCACCACATCAATCGCAACCTGCTCATAACTAGTCTCCCCACTTCTCCTAAAATCTACAGTTATTTCCTTTGTCTTATCCACATGTAACTTTCAATTATTCTCTCTGCACCGACCCACAAGGTTTTTTATATCCTACCAATATGCAGCCTTGTCGTCATCCCTTATTCTCCCAACTGGTATGGTGTCAACTTCAAATCGCCCTCGAAGCAAAAGGTGCAATCATGAGTATATAAGGAAAACAAAAAGGGTCTTCACACACAACCCTGTGACATCCCTATACTAAGGGAAAGCATTGCTGGGAAGCAGCTACCAACCTTTACCCTCTGCTGCCTATTGGCCAGGAAATCAAATCTCCAGTTACAAATGGTTGGGTTTAGATGTTTTAGTGGTCTGATGCTTAGTCTAAAATAAAACTTTTCCAAGTACCAGGGGCACATACCAGTTTTTATTTTGCCTAATGATCCATTAGTGCATGGGGGTTGATTTACTAAAACTGGAGAGTGCAAAATATGGTGTAGCTCTGCATAGAAACAAATCAGCTTCCAGTTTTTTTTTTGTCAAAGCTTAATTGAACAAGCTGAAGTTAGAAGCTGATTGGCTACCATGCACAAACGCACCAGATTTTGCATTCTCCAATTTTAGTAAATCAATCCTATGGTTTGTTATGTGAGTATGCAGATTATTTTTGGTCTCTATATAATAAGCACAGGGTTTTTTTGGGAGCTGCCATCTAACATTTCCTCTGTGAGAATGCAATGCTAATGTTTTGTGACCTAACTGTATGTATTACTATTTTAGACTATGCATTATACCACTACAATTTCTGTGACTTTTTTTTTTTTTTTAATTTTGCTAAGGGTCTTTATGGAGTCAATTTCGCTACAAAGCACATTAACCATTTCTGATTGCTGAAGTGGAATATAGATAAAATAAAGTTGTGAATCTTGTATTTTTTTTAGTGGTTAGGATTGTGTGTTGTACCAAGTGGCTTTAATCTCTTTATATGAAATTTATGTTATGTTTATACTCTTTCTATATCTGGTGTCATTTTGGTTTGCTTCAGAGTACTATCATTTAATGTCCCATACTACAATACACTATTTTACCTGTATTCACAAATATTTGACAGCCTTTCATTTTGACACTTAGGGGAAGGAAGACAAAGGAAATGCTTTTTGCCTGGTGCAGACTAATAACATATTTTCACTCTAGGCAAAGTCA